CGGTCTCATTTAATCGATTTCGTTCTTATTAGTTAAATTTATATAATCATCAAATTTAATTGGTATAATAATAATCTACAAATTGCGCGATCTTCTGAAATTTAAGGTATTATTAGGAACTGTCTCTGAAACGGAAACTGGAAAGAAATAGGCGAAGCATGTGAAGTTTACGAGAGAACACGGAATTAAACGACATCGGTGAAACCAATCACAGAGGAAATGAAAATAAAGCAATCGAGGAATGAGCTTGATAACTTTTTTTTTTATTTAAAATTAAAAAAAATAAAATAAAAATATCCGATTCTCCGCGTTGATCGGATAACAGGTCTCTCTCTCTCCTCTCATCCCCGCGGATGAGTCTATCTCGCGCGTGACGGAAATCACTTAGGTCGCGGTGCGGTCTCGCGGCAAGATGCGAGAGGAGAGTGAAAAAATATCGGAGATAATATCCGTGCGTTGATTATTATTAAACGTTGTCACTTGTCCGCGTGGATGTCGCGCTTTTTTTCCACGAGCGTGATATAAAAAGGTGACGGTGCTCGTCCCTCCGTCCGTAGATCGCGCCGTTTCCACGAGCGACGATATAAAAAGAGTCCCTTTGCGAGTGATCCTTGTGGATGATCGAGGATTAATAACGACAGGATGAACTTTAACACGCAGCTAGCATTTATCCCGCGGGCAGTTATCGTCGAAGCGAGAGAGGACGAAGCGAGCCGGCGTCGGCACGGTTCTCCTCTCGAAAGGCCAAGCCGCAAGTAAAGATCGATGGATCGATAGATCACGGTATCCGCGCGTTTACGGTCCTGCGAGTCCTCCTCCCTCCTGTCCTCCGTTCGTTAGTCGATGCTCCTAGGTGTCGTTTGACGCGGGGATTATTATTTATCGTTCTGTACGCTTGAGGAATTAATCAGAACTGTACAACGCGCGTGGGAGACTTCAAAAATGACACGTGAAATTGACGTGCCATTTTTGCGAACGCTTTACTTTTACGTACGAAGCATTTCGTTAAATTAAATCTCCCGTAACATTTTTATAACTGTATGTATTGTACCTTGTCGCGAACTAGGTTGAAAGTTAAAATTAGCTCCGTAATCGCGAGGATTAGTATGTATCACTGTATCGTATATAAGATAAAAATTTTAATCATTTGTATTAAATATAAAAGTCAATTACTTACGTAAGGAAAATCCAAGAGATTATTCTCATTCACATTTGATATCAAATGCTACTATTAAACGTTATTTTTTTTTTAAATAATTTGTTATTTCATATCTAGAACGGAATCAATGCAATTATTTCTCCCGAGATAACAGCAAAGATAACTGTATATATCAAGTTGTTTTTTTTTTTTTTTTTTTTTTATTGTTGATCTGTCAAGTATCGAACGACGTGATTATTCTTCTCTTCAAATATTGCAAAGTGTCAAGCATTACGAATTTCATGCGAAATAGTCGGATTGAATTTCGTCCATATTCTTTCGATTTCTGCTTCTAAGCTGTTTTCTGCTTTCCTCATTTAGAATGACTGTCCTTTGTAAAGAAAATGCTTACAACTTGATCTTTTTTTTTTAAATATATCCAAAATAATTATCAGCACTCTTATGTAATTTTCTTATTTTATTGAATTTTTTAATTTATTTTATCAAATAAGATCTAATTTCTTTTAACATCAACCGACGTGTGATGGATAAAATATAATTCAAATGTATACGCTATATTTCTGTCAGCATATCGTTTTCATGCTTCAGCTTTTCTATTTCAATATTTTACAAATACGTGTAAAATGCCTCTTGAATCACTGAGTCGCGCTGTTGAAGAGTAGAGTTTGTTTGAAAAAAAAAAACCTGGAAAAAAAAATAAATTTCTCTACATAGAGAGTTTTCATTTTTGTATTTTATATTTTACTTGTCCGTTAAACGCGCGCGAGTTTACGTAATTTCGAATACAACGTGTATTCGACTGGCGTATCGGTGTGATAATATAAAGCCAGGATCGGGAGAGAAAGTGTCTCTCCTTCGTCTTAAGGCTCGTTCACACGCGCTTCAAACACCGTGGCGAATGGCGCGGTTCGCTCGCGGGCGCGTAAACGCACGCAGACTGAACTTACATAATCGATTACGGTAATACAACGGAGTTATGGCAATCTCCGGGCAGCCGCGGCAAGCAGGCAGGTAACCCAATTCCGTGTTGACCGGACATATATTGGTGTTTGCACCGCGCACCGCACCGCACCGCACTCGGCCGAGAGAAAAACGCGACAAGGGAAGGTGGCGAGCACACCGCGGGCTCTCATGGGGTATCACCTCGATCGAACTGAAACGCGATCGTTGTTATCGGAATCCCCCCTTTGAATTTCGCATCCGAGCTGCACACGGTTGCGGGAGATTCGTTTCCGTAACACTTCAAGTCCGACTGGTTTCCAATTTAAAATTCTCGCCCGTCCTTAAACAGACGCGGTTCGATAAGCGAACGCTGTGTCTGATTATTCGGCATATAATTATTCCGTGCATTTTCTGATTTAAATGCATTTATTATCGGTATGATTCGCCTGCGATGTTTTTCAGCGTACGCGCGAGAGAAAATACCCGCGTGTATTTCGCGAACCAGCGGGAAATAAGTAAACCGCAGAGTGTAATTATGCAACGAGTCGAGCGCAGACGCTCCTAACAAAGCCATATATTTTTCGTGGTATTTGATAATACATATACATATACATATACATATTTTTCATGGTATTTGAGAATCACATTGAGGACACGAGGACGCTTTTATTTCATATCGGCATATTCTATTTTATTATTTCGAAACTGTATTGTATTTTAATTAATAACCACAAAAGGTTGCATGTTAAATGATATTTTGATTATATTAACCTGAAATCTAAAACATTTAACAGAAAATAAAGTATAACAAATTTAATATAAATTTAATTACATTAAATAAAACATTTATTAATAAATGGAAATTTTCTTTAGCTTTGAAATACAATATGTGTTTGTATTGTTGTTACAAAACCGTAACAGTATTCTAAAGCTAGAAAATCATTTAAGAGAAAGAAAGAGTAAATCTTATTTTATAGACCGCATAATCTGATCTGGAATTAAATTTCTATCATTTAAGAACAAACGGAAGCTGACGTAATAAACTGAACTGTATATAGGACCTTCAATAATGAAAATTCAGTTACAAGACTGCACAGTTACAAGACTTGAGATAATCAAATGAAAAGATCAATTCTTTGGATTTTGGCAAGTGCCATATCTTTAAACATTATTCACTTCAATTAGTATACAAACTTATATTTTGTAGAATTTTTTTGTATCTTTACGTTTATAGATTGTTAATTTATACAAAATGATGAAATGATAAATTTCTAATTAAAAAAAAAGAAAAATGTCCGTTAAAGCGAATGAACGCGATGCGATGCAAAAAGATTATGGGAATTATTTCGATAAATCAGTCGACTGAATAAGTCGCGAGCTATTTTCAAAAATAAGCGGATTGGGTAAGGAGGATTTAATCGCGAATTCGCGAGGTGGTAAATTCGTTTTAATCGACTCCGCGCGAATCCCGTTCCAATTAGGCAAGCGCGAAATTAATATTTCGAATGATTCCTGGTGCCACTTAAACGCAATAATTCGCGATAACGATCGAACGTTGTGCAACATCACGCCGATAAGTTAAGAAATAGCGTTTCCGCACTGGAAACGTCAGAAACATTATTTCACGGCGGCATATCGCGCGCGGGAATCTGCCTTAATCCCAGTAATAATTGTGCGGCACAGGCGAGCACCGCGAGTGAGAAACGGTGGAAAGCGAGCCTAATGAGGGCGATATGTAATTTATTGCACCGGTACGGCGAAGCTGTAACATCGTGGCGCCGAACGGGTCGCCGCTGAAAAAGGAGGCTGAGACAGAGGCGTGGAGAAATAGATACAGGAAGTTAGGAATCGATAGAGATACTTATTCTGCCGTAGGTATTAAATTTGACTTTTCAGATGAT